GGGGGGGGGTATTCGACGAATTGAGATTTCTATATGGCGGTATTTCGGGTTCACAGACACGCTGATTGCTGCCACTGCCAGTGCACGAGAACTGCCTTGTCGTTACTATCGAATGTGTCGAAGCTGTAGTGCATACCCCTTCATCCTTCTCAGTCCTCCAATCACCCTCCCCCCTCGCCCCTCCTGTCTTCACTCCGTACCACTAGCTCGCAGTATAACAGCACCGTATATTCGCCGACGTTGGCTCATTCTCGAAGCACGTCTCGACCACTAAGAAGGTCGGAAAATGCAATCGATCTAAAGACGAATTGAATTTACTGTGTGGCTGGTGTGACTCGAGATTGATCGAGCGTTTCTGGTGAATAGCGCCATTGCATAATGCTTAAAATGTGTAAAATATTGGGTAGATGGATATCCATGGCGAAAAAATTATCCTTGGACTGAGAATATTGTTGGGGAAGTGGTGTTCTTGGCTGGGGATTCAGGGGGTTGGGGCTGCAAGTGGTGTTATTGAAGGGGCTGGGAATTTCACGCGGAATTTGAATGCGACCTGTTTTGTGGAGGATTATGCAAACATTTTGGGACACGACAGTGACACGTCGTATGACTGTCATATTCTCAGTAGATCATGGTCACTTCTCAATTTTGTGACGTATTTTGAGACACGAATTTTATGAGACCGTTATTTTCCAGATAAACAGCAGTGACAATGGCAAACTATGCAAATTATGACGAATAAAATGTGACGTCACGTGACTGTCATATGACGCATAAAAAATAACGGTCATTTTCACATCTTTTTCATTTTGTGCCCGTAGTTCGTGAATATTGAAAAATAGTAGATTTCATCATTAGACCTATGAAGTATTTTCTGAAGAGCGTGAGTTTATCTGAGCCAAATGTGAGGATTATAATCACATTCGTCAGGAAATATTTTGTGAGCCGTGTGATGTAAACTATTCTATGTTACTCTAACTGGGCGAAGCAAAGTTAGAGTCGTTGTTTATCGGCCTAGAAACATGAATTAAGTTTATCGAATGGAGAACTTTTTTCAATTGAACGTTCTGCTGACAGTGAATTTTTGTAATATTCAGGTTGAATTCTGTTAGTTGATGAGGAAAAAACTAAATCAATACTGAAAAGAACTTCCGAGAAATGAGGAATCTAAGCTCTTAATATTCACTTCTAAAATCATAAAATCATAAAATTACAGAGAAACTATAAAATTCTGAATAAATCACTTTGCTTGTAGAATAATGCGACATTGCATTCATCGAGATCATTACTATTCACTGTTTAAAATTTGCTGTTATAGTAATGAAATTGCAAAAAAAATTCAACGCCTCAACTTGAAATTAGGATTTTGCAAATTTTTTTTTCATTGCTGGACATCAAAACTGAATGAATATCAGGCCCATATTCTTCATTTGGATGAATAACGAAATTAATGAGTTACCGGTTATTGAAAATATCTAGATTGTGATAGCCTAATGCAGACGTTTCTTGAATTGTCTGTCACTTCTAAATTTTTCATGCTTATTCAAAATAAAAAAGAACCCATCAAATATTCTCCATTCAATTTCTCGCATTCCTCCCTTTCATTCAATAAGAAACCGTGAAAAAGCTCAATCCAAAAATATTTCATTAGTAATTTGGAGCATGAATTTGTTTAAGAAATTCCCGGCTCAAAACAGGCCAATGATAAACTCAAACCTTAAACGCCAAAAATTAAAAAACCAAAAACAATATTCTCATCCCGAGAATAATGAATTCCCGTGTCCTACTTGATTCTTCGCATCCAACGTAGATTGATTTGAAAAACGGACATGAGCAAGAGAGGGCGTATGACCAGCCTCGAAAAAGCCTGAACTAATAGACTAATTTGCCTTCTCATGAAAAAAAAATTCGGACACAAGACTTAACCATTCGTTTGTGTGTTCAAATCGTAAAGTGTGTTCTTGGTTGCGGTCCAGCTAGCGGATGAGGACTGGCTGACGCCTAGCCTCCTAGTGTGATGGTAAGCAAGCACCCCTCACCAACAGGAACAAACGTTAACGCCACTACCATCGCCACCAACGATACCCTAACTAGTATCACGCGGATCGGCACAACCAAGTATGTGACACCAAGAGCCACGAGAGAACGCGACAGAGGGGGAGGTGGAGGAGGAGGAGGTGGAGATGGCGGAGGAGGAGGTGGAACACCAGGTGGGAGGTCCTGTGGAGATACCTACCATTATCGATCAACGCGACATCCGAGATAGAATGGAATGATAGAATTAATCATAAGAGTTGTAATAAAACATGAGCAAATCCACCGACAGCGAGAAAAAAGAATAACCAACCTCCTCCCTATCCTTGCATTCTCGAATTCCACGGACGTCGTAATCAAATCAGTAACAGATGAATATATATGAAACTGAACGGTTTGTGTTGCGTTTGGGTTTTAGCCTCGTGTGTGATAACGAACAAATGATATGTATGTAGAACAAGATACTCCTGCGTAAATTTATATCGCTTAAACGTGATACACGGGATTCTCACTCCGCTCATCTTCATTCATTCTCTCTGGCAAATACCGCGCCACAAATGCGGGATATATTTTTCAGTTTTCTTTCGGGAATTGTATAGATTTCCAAACAGATACCGGAGAATTTCATTCTCCATTCGAGGATTGAGGGAGAGCTCGGTGAAACGGATCGGTTTTACCTTTGGAATCTCCTGATCAAACGGTACACACAGAAAAAGCTAAACGTAATTTACGGTTAACGCCAATATGAGGACTGGTGGGTTTTTTCCGTTATAACAATCGGAATTTAGACTTCAAAAGGGTGCATTTTACGGTCAAAGTGAAAGCGCAAATTACGCTCAACTGAAGCGTCTTTTACGTTTCACTAAGCGTAGTTCATGTTTAAGAAATGGTAAATTACGATGTTAATAGCAATGTATTTTATTATTTACTTATGTGGAATTTACGAAAAAACATCGTTAATTACGAATAAGTAAATGTAAAATACGGAAAAAAATTATCGTAATTTACGGCGATTTTTAGTGTAATTTACGCTTCAAAAAGCATAAATACGACTTCTTAAACGTCTTTTTCACTTAGTTTTTTCTGTGTGCGTTTTATCTTTCGTACCATATTTTTTGTAGAGAAATTTCACCCCGAATTGAGAAAAACCTATATTGCATTATTAGTTTTTGAACCCATCGAAGGAGAAAGATCACTTCTTTTCATTCAAATTGGGCTGAAATTTCTCAATTCTATTAAGAAGACAAAAAAGGTTCATTCCAGGCTCGTTAGAGAACGCCTAGTCCCACGTCTGATTTCCAACGTTAATGAAATTAAATTAAAATTTATTACACCCCCGTAACGATTCTCGCAAGCCGTCTCGCCGGACGGTTATTCCTCTCGTTTTTCCGCGATTCCCTCTCCCTTTAAAAAAATTACGAGTAAGAGTGGAGCGCCGCTTGGTGCGGCAATTTTACCCGAGCGAAACCTTTATTTTTCTATAGATAGTTTGTACATCGATGGGGCCCACTAAGAAAGATGAACATAAAGAAACTGTGCATTAATTATACCAGACGCCAATTTTCTCGACAATGTGAAGGTAATGCGGGCTCGTCAGTAACTTCAATCGCTCCAATCTGGCCCCCTATCCTCCCTTGGGTTAGGATTGACGCTTTAAATTAATCAACACTAAAGAATTTATGCGTTGAGTCCCGCAGGGTACTTGTGATCATGCGTATGCGCACAATTGACGGAATTATTCAAGTCGGGAGGCTTTTACTTCGAGAGAAACCTGAGAGAAAAAATTACTTTTGACAAAGAATGTTTACTTGATACAAGAAAATATATTCTTGTCAATTTTAAAACCGGTGAAATCTCCTGATGAATAATTTCATTCTCAGACTGGGAGAAAGAAGTTTCCTAACAGAATGAGATTCTCTTGTTCCGAGAGAATTATTAAGCGCTCTCAAGACTAGAAATGATGTCCTTCCCATAGATTCATGTAGTTTGCGGTATATCTAGATTTTTTTTATCAGGACTTTGATTACATAAAATCTTGCAAAGGGCACAACACTTGAGATCAATTTTCGGGAAAGTGTGAATTCCCAGAATCACTTGAGAATATCCAAGTACTTTGGCTATTTTTTCTCCAGTGAAATGCTTTTCTACTTCTGTAGTCGAACATCAGAGCTTTCATTTGACATTTTACAATGGTTTTATTATTTAAACTTTGGAGGGATGAATTTGAATCTCCGATATTGAACCGTTAGATTGATGAAATAATTAAAAATCGTAATTTTTGAAAATTATGAGCATTTTCTATAAATGTGGGCGTCACTATTCCGATAATCTTAGTGAAATTCCTCACATTTGGAGCCCCAAATTAACACGAAAGTATTAAAAATGACGTCGGTATAGAAGATTAAAAAATCAGTTTAACATCAATTTAAATGGGAGGTGAGAAAAATGTGAATATCTCGCAAAATAAATGCGACAGAGTGGGCCCTTTTCACGTGGACGTACACAAATAATTTATAAACCATTATTTTCCACCATAAAAATCATTTTTTCGACATCATAACTAACGTATTCACATTTATTTTACCAGAAATTGATTTCATGCCTAAAAAAACAAGTTTTGCGAAAGTTTAAACAATTTCAACAATTGATTTCTGAACAACAAATGTTTAAAAAATAATAATTTTGTACAAAATATTATTTGAATAACGCTGAATATTCATAATCTTTTTCAAATTTTTCTCACGCAATTTAACTGACAAATTTGATGATTGAAAATGGTTGAATCAAACTGTAAAAGATACTTGGGACTCCTTAAATTCTATATGAATTTATGGAAAGACTTGTGCTAACATTTACAAATTTTCTCGGCACAAGAGAATCGCATCCTCTTAGAAGCCTTCTTCCTCTCAGTGTGACCACAGAATTATTCACCAAAAGATTTCGCAATTCTAGAAATTCACAAGACAATATTGTCTAGTATCAAGGAAATCATCTTCGTCAAAAGTACTTTTTTCCCTCAATGTACTTTCGGCTGCAACTTACAAAATCGCGCTGAGAGGTTATTAAGAAATCGAGAAAATGGAGAAAAAAAACAGTCCAACGTAGATAGGTAGGTATATAATACACATATTAATATAATGTCAAGATACATATTACATTGATGCATACGAGTCCATTCGCGGAATCAAAAGAGGCGAAATAGTCGAGACACGCAGAGTTGATAGAACAAAAGTTTTAAATGATGTTCGTTGCGTGCGCGTGTAACAGTTGCCCGGTCGTAATTTTAACAGCCGTCACTTGGTTTTTTAATGAATTTCTTACCCGCGTTTTTTAATTGTTTGAGGGAAGATTGTTTAGAGATAGGGGAAAATTTACAAGAATGTTGACGAGAGGTACTAGAAATGCGTGAAGTTGGTGAAAGGGCGAGCGCTGATTGTACAGAACTGTTGAAATATACATCGAATTAATAGCGTACGAGTTTTTTTCTCGAGATTTCATTCACAATTCGGCGGATTCATGAATAGAATTTTCATTTGAAGCCAGTGTCTCCGCAGCTTTGATCTGTTTTCCCCCTCGTCTGTCCCCAATGTACTTTGCGTGATTAACGATTGAGGTGGAACTAAAAGCGGAATCGTGGATATGGGGGCTGAGAGGGCTGGACGAGGGTGAGACAGGGAGGGGGAGGGGAGGGAGAGGCGAGTGGTCGTTGTCGATTTATCGTAATCGAAATACACTCCGCGATGATTGCTTCCCGAGTCACCGGTGTGTTCGATACCCATGTCGATTGCGTGTGACGCGTGAGTAGGAAATGAGGGAACTAACCCATTCGACAGCCATGCCCGGCTCATCGACATCGGTGAAATACAGTTAGTGAATTGTGGCCCCGGACACACGAATACTCCCGGTACACTCTCTGATTTCCTCATTGGCGAACTTGTTATATTGTAACATTCAATTAAACTGTATTTGATTTGTAAATGCTTCGGGGAATGGAAGGCAGGTGAATGGAGGAAAAAGTTTTGGGGAAAATTGCATGACGTCAATGTGGGGCATAATGGATTTTCAAGGGTGGTTAGAATATTGGAGTTGGTCGGTCGATGAAAGGGGTAGGGGTCAGAACAATGCGGGATGCTCAGGGTTTTGCGGGAAATTGCGTAATTTGAGTCATTTTTAGTCGTGCTGCTTTGGTTAAGTTATGGGAAATTTATCCCGCATTTTCAGGACGGGACGCACATTGTGGGGAATGTTTACCCAGAATTTTAGTGAAGAATGCGCACTGTTAAAAATTTTCGGTTGATTTTTTCCGCGTCAAATCCTGGAAATTTTTATCATGCTCAATTTCCACTGAAATGCCAGGAATTATTGCCTTTGGAGAATGAAATATTTCATTGTTTTTCTGATCGGATGGTCTGCAAATCAATAAAATACTTGATTTTTCAATTTAATTATTCCGTGAAAATTCGGAAATGGTGCCATTTCTGTTGAAAATTCAATCACGTTGTGAAACTTCCATCTCACTCTCGCTGAAAACTCATGAATTTACTTGAATTCTACCTAAAACATGAAATTTCATAATCATTTTTTCCCTAAATCGGATTCAATGTGACTCGCATGAGAATTACAACCATATTTTCAATGAAATTTTGAAAAATTTCTGGCAGTGCAATGACTTGGGTGTGGATTACAATTTTTGGTGGAGGTTTTACCTGAAATATTAGAATTTTTACTACACAGTTAGGAAAGAACTGAAATTTCATGGGCATTTGACTCCTAATTTTCAGTAGGGTGACATTTAATTCGATTTAGGGGAGAACATAATAAAATTTCCAACTTCACAGAAAATCTAATGTAATTCTAGATTTTTGAGTACCAGGGAAGAATTCCCCAATTGGATTGAATCAAATTACGCTAAATTTTCTATTCATTGAAAATTCACAAATATATTTACTTGAATTTTCCTAATTTTCACTAATTTTCATGGAGTAATTGAACTAAAATAAGATAAAAATTTCCAAGAAGTATTGCGGAAATTTCAGCCAAAATTTATTTAATACTGTAGACTTGAAGCAATTTTTAATGGAGTTCTGGTGAAAATTCAGACAGTTCTTATTTTTCAATGTGAATTTACCAAAATACACTGTAATATCATAAAATTGAGAGAAGACATCCGTTTCCCTCACGAATTCAG